CCTCCCCCTTAGTGGGCAGTGTCAAGTGTCATATTACAAAATGCATTACGGTCTTTTAGAATCAAACCTTTTTATAATCTTGATAAAAAACATATCATTGGAAAGGTCTAAGTCTCAGGATTCCATATTTTGTGATAGAAGCAATATTTACAGAGAAATTTCAACATTTGCGACAGAAAAATGCATTAAAAAAATTCAATGGAGTTTGGATGGCACCCGGTGGCTGTTTGTGGTATAACGCCCTAAATAAAATCTCACAGAAACCTCAATTTTTTTCATATCAACTTCAAATTTGGAACATAACTTATTTAGACATAATAGTGCATTTTATTTACAGTACATGTAAACTTCTATAACTTTTTGATACTTTTTTTATTTTTTTATTCCACTTTTGCCATAATCTGCTGATTGTCTTCTTTAAAAAGAGACCAACCTTAGGTCTGTATTCCAAAGTGTTCATAAATTACAACAATTTAAGTTTGGATAGTGCACTTTCATGCCTATTTTAAAAAATGGGGGGTGACAGTAAAAGGGTTAAATATGGCGTCTAAGCCTGATTAAGTTCTATTAGAAAGCATCATTTCACACTGCACTTTTGGCACAGCAATGCAGGGTCAACGCTGTAAAGATGGTGCTAATCCTGCATTTAAATTACAAGTGTGAAAACGCACCTTTACCTGGGGGTAAAGCAGGGGTTAGAATGATGATAACCTGGAATGAACAGTCCTCTAGAGTTGTACATCCCAACACAACAGCAATTTTTGACAAATTGAAAACAGTCACCGCTTGGTGACACTACTAGCACAGAAAACAGTGGCCTGTTGTTTTTATTCTTAAACTAACAAATCAAGTCATTCAATCAAACTGTCATTCACTGGCACGAATGGAGCAGCATTTGATGTGCGCCGACATGTTGTCTTGAGACTGAGCAATAGTCCTTCTCAACATAGTTAATGAGCTGGAATGTTTTCTCACTCATTCCCACCCGCACGATTCCCTCAGGTGATTGGTGGTTTTAATTAATGATTTTAGTCTGATAAATTATTGTGTAATAAGACTTCTGTACATGATCCACTAGTTGTATTCAGCATGAAGGCTGGTTAGGCACGGGCCCAAGTCAAAGTCTTTGTTTCTCCCCCTGCCGCCTATGTGTGTTTTAAGCCTGTATTCTAAGAGCTTGTGCCAAAATGTCTATGTCAGTGGTTCCCAACCCTGGTCCTGGAGGCACCCCAACACTGCACGTTTTGCATGTCTCCTTAAATGAACACACCTGATTCAGGTCATCAGCTCATTAGTAGAGACTCCAAGACCTGAAATTGGTGTGTCAGAGAAAGAAGACATGCAAAATGTGCAGTGTTGGGGTGCCTCAAGGACCAGGGTTGGGAACCACTGGTCTATGTTGTGCTGCTCTTTTCAACATGTTCGCTCTTGACTCCACCTGGCACCGTGATGATTTTTGTGCAATTGTCATAGCTTGGAAGAAAAATGGAGAATTGGAAATATCACACACCTTTTATCTAGTGCCTAAAGAGATGCATCAACAATGAGTTGATGATAGAGGTTACACATTAGCCCACCTTCAAGTCTCTTCTGGTCTCTAGCTGTGACCAGTTTATATGAGCATGACTGTTTACTCTCCACCCTTAATGAAGAGAATCGAAAACATTTCATAAACTCACTGGTGGTGATTATGTGACATTTGTTTGTGCACGAATAAAGCGAAATCAGTGTTGTGCAACTCACCGCAGAATCTGATGAAGCTTGTTTTGGAGCACAGGAAGAGACATTATCGTTCTGAAGGATCTGTGTCTTTTGTTTTTGCTGCTTGTTGATAAGATCGGAATGAAGCATCTCTCAGACATTCACTATTACACGGCGTTCCACAGGTGTCTAGCCAATATATATGCAAATAACAGAAAACAGACTGCTTGGGAATAGTTGAGGGCCATGTGGGAACCATTTAGAGTCAACATAAAAGTGCATTTAACTTTTTAAATGCATTTCATTGTGCACAATTCACCAGTGCACGTTATTCTCAACTAAAAGATGTTTGTCTTCATTTATTTTTATCCAAATGTTACTTGCTGAAATTACTTTTCCTTAACTCTTAATTTCAGTCCCTTTCATCCAACCACCTGAATTCATTCTGATGTAATGGTCACTTTTCCCAATCCAATCAATGCCTGATGGATACAATCAAGTCCCAAGTTACTTCTTTTTCCTTCAAATGCCCTGTTTCGCTGGAAAACACATTGTAACACAGATGTAAAGTGGTTTGTGAACTCATTTCAGACTGAATACATTACAGTTATAAACTAAAATAGGCCTAATATTTAGAGATGCACATAATATATCTTTTTTCTTTGGCCAATATTAGAAATTGTTTTGAATTCATTGTACTGGTTTATACTGGATATATTGATATACTGGATATATATTGAACTTGCACTATTTTAACATGTAGATTATCTTTGCCATCATCTAACACAGTTTGGGGTCGGTAAGATTTTTAAATTTATATATATTTTTTTTAGATATGTTCTAAATTTTTATAAAAAAATTATTATTTCTTTATTATAAGATAATTTTTATATTCTCTTATGCTCACCAAGGGCTGCATTTATTTGTTCAATAATGCAGTAACAACAGTAATATTACGAAATATTATTACAATTTAAAATAACTATTTTCTATTTTTATTTATTTTAAAATGTAATTTATTTATGGGATGCAAAGCTGAATTTTCAGCATCATTACTCCAGTATTCAGAATCATATGATCCTTTAGAAATCAATCAATCTAATATGCTAATTTGCTGCTCAATAAGCATTTGATATTATTATTAATACTGAAAACAGTTGCTAAAATACTTCTGTGGAAATGTTTTAGGATT